ATTGAGGCGAAAGCAGCTTATTGCTTATCGCGGAACTTTTACAGAAAGAAGCTTCGAGCGGCCAGACACGCTTTCCTTGACCGTGAGGCTGCTAGTATATCAAAGAATTGCAGTAAGGGCGGATATGTATGGTGGAAAAGGGCCAAGCAGTTTTGTAACATTGCTGGCAGCAAGTCGTCAGTCCCTGATCTTACAGATGGTGACGCCAGCGCCACCACGGAGCATGAAAAATGCGATCTTCTTGCTCAACATTTTGCAGCCCAGTGTTCAGTGCCACCAGCAGTGAATGGACAACCCTCTCAAGCGCCATCATTAAGTGCTTGCACCACTTTGTACAGCATTTCTAAATTTAGTCCTGGTCAAGTCCATTACGACCTAACACACCTATCCCCCCGAAAATCCACCTCAGCAAATCACATGATACCGATACTACGCTCAATGGCAGATTTACTGTGTGAATCCCTCTCATTCCTGTTTAACTTAAGCTTATCTACTTCGTGCTTCCCCAATTCCTGGAAATCGGCCTCTGTTACCCCATTATATAAAGGCAAAGGAAGTGCCTCTTCACCAACAAATTACCGTCCTATTTCACTGCTGCATCCCGTCAGTCGCCTTTTCGAATACCGGATAGCACTGAGTCTCAGCAGCTTCCTGCATCGCAACAAATTAATATCACCGTCCCAATTTGCATATGTTCCACAGCGATCAGCAACGGACCAACTTATCCTGCTTACTCACCAGATGGCTCGTGTCTCGGACAAACACAACAGATATGATTGTGCATTTCTTGACTTCAGGAAAGCCTTCGATAAGGTTCATCATCCAACCCTGATTGAGAGGCTGAGTACTTTTATGACTCGAAACTCAGTGAAATGGTTTGAATGCTACCTCAATCAGAGAACGATAGCTGTCAAGATTAAGGAGACGATCTCTCCCCAATATCTTTTGAATTGTGGTGTCCCTCAAGGCTCACATCTTGCACCCCTGCTGTTTTTAATCTACATCAATACCCTTCCCGACACATTGACCCACAGCGCCCCTTATCTATTTGCTGATGATGTTACACTGCTCAACACTCATAACATCGGTTTACCTGTTGGTGAGAATCTGGCCAATTTCCAGTTGGATTTAACAAGCTGCCAGCGCTGGGCTAGAGGCATTCACGGGGAGTTTTCTGCGGCCAAGACCACCATGTTCTCCAACTATGCTCCTCCACCCTCTTCGTCTGTCCAAATGGACAACGTACCACTCAATGTTAAAAGTACCGTAATCCATCTAGGCGTAGAGATCAGCACTAATCTTAAATTCCAAGACCATTTCACTACTGTGTTCAAAACGTTTCGCCAACGTGTAAATTTGTTATGCTTTATGGGCCGTCATCTATCGCATGGACATATTGCCCTACTCTACAAGTCATATGTACGACCCACAGTAGAGTACGCTATCCCTGTCTGGTGCTTCAGACTTACCGCTACCCAGCTAGAATCGCTTGACATTTTACAAGCAAAGATCTGCAGATGCCTGCTGCGGTCTGCGAAGATTGATTTTGATCGCTATGAATCGAAGAATAATTTAAATAGGCTGTGTAATTTGGAATCCCTTCACTTCCGACGCACTTACATTTCCATCACCGTTTTGTTCAAGTATATCCATTGGCACCCAGATTATCTATCCCGCTTTGACATCAATATCTCTTCTAGCGCACGCCGACCAAACAAACTGATTTTCAATTCTCATGGCCGCATCTCTTCCTCTCTCTTTCTGCATAAGATCGGAAAGCTGTGGAACTGCCTTCCACCAAGGCTGACATCCCAAGATTCACTTTCTAAATTTCAGCAGCAATATCGCTTGCACGTGAAAAGGTTTAAATTTGACTGTAGTGGTATATCCCTTGACATTTAAATTAATTGTTTTATTTTTAACAACCCAGCCCTGTGTTTATTGCTAATTTATGTAGCATACACTGTAACACGTGTAGTTTTCCTCACTGTTTATTTCTATTGCATGATTTGCATCAGGAGATCCCCTCGACAGGCCATCGCCTCTGGGAGATCCTTTAATAAAGATTATTATTATATTATTATAATATGTATGCAGCTGGTGACTCTGCTGAGGAAGTCATCGGAGCTTTGAACGGAGATCTGGCCAAGCTGTCTGTCTACCTGGAAGAGAAGCGCATGACGCTGAACCCAGCAAAGACGAAGTTCCTCCTCCTTCACAGAAAGACAACAGCAGTACCTGGTTCTGCCAGTGTCGTCATTGACGGCGTCCATGTTCTTCGAGCACAGTCCGCACGCTATCTTGGCATTGTCATTGACGAGCACCTAACTTTTGGGCCACAAATTGACGGTTTGATTGGGTCTGTCAACAGGAAACTCGGCGCCTACCGCATGTCAATAGTGCAATTTGACCTGGTAGAGTAGGCAGCAAGTTTTTGACCTCCGAGAATCCGTGGGATTTTTGGGTTTGTTTCTAAAATATCGAGAGTGTGTTCGATACAGTTAGGGGAGGACCATCCAAGGAACGATCATGCGTTCTACGTAAAGCTGTTGCTTTGACCTTGGTGGTTGGAGATGGTGCTGTAGTGTCAGTCCATGCTTTTGGCGTGGCTGAAGACGTTTCCCTCCCCTCCATTGTCTCTGCAATCGAGAAATTCGGCACTGTGATCGGCAAACCAAAGCGGGAGGTGAAAACCATTGAAGCCTGTACCTTCACCACTGGAACGGTGTACGTCAGTATAGTACCGACCGTAGCTGTCCCCTCTGTGATTGTCTTGCCTGGCTCACACCAGAGAATCCGTGTATGGCACAAGGGTCAGACCCCAACATGCTATAAGTGTGGGTCAAGCCACCACGTGTCCAGAAATTGCACTCAGCAGATGCAACGGGGCAAGAACTCTGCATCTGGTACGCTGTACTCCAGTATGGTAGGGTCAAGCGCAGGTCAAGCCAACAACTCTGTGCACCACAGCTCTGAACCCCAGCCACCACCTCCAGTACTTGGCGCCTCGAGTACATCTACGGATGCAGAGTCAGAGATCTCATCTCGACCTCGTGAACCTTGTACGGACCCAGCACAACCCCACGCGGATCCAAAGGACAAGCAGAACACTAGGAATATTATAGCAATAAAAACTGCTTTATGGCAGTTTTCTAAAAAAAGTTATTGTGTTCTAGTCCATGGACCCCGTCTAAAAAGTAAGAAATTACCGAAATGTGATAGCTGAAAATTAAAATTTCACCCAAAACCTCACAATAATCACAAGACTTGAAATGCCGCTTTCAACTTTAACTTGTACTGCACCAACAATTGGCAACATGCATGCATAGGAAAGAGGATCACGAGGGGAAAAGGTCTTCTACATGTAGCTTTTAATTCTGTGTGTGATTATTGTGAGGTTTTGTGTGAAATTTTAATTTTCAGCTATCACATTTCGGTAATTTCTTACTTTTTAGACGGGGTCCATGGACTAGAACACAATAACTTTTTTTAGAAAACTGCCATAAAGCAGTTTTTATTGCTATAATTTCTTTTGTTTTTTCTGTCACCAATCAATGGAATGCCCTATATCAAGAGTACATAACCCCGGGGTTATGTACTCTTGCCTATATCAATAATTATGTAAATGATGGCCTTCACATCATATCAAGAGGTTTATGTACTCTTGATCATATCAATACCGCATTATACGCATTGATGTGCAAGCCTTTTCTTGCAGAAAATGGCACTAGCATGATAATGCATGTTCTTCTGCGGGGGAACATGTGAGTAGTGGTTATACTTTTTTATACGGAGGTCATTCTGTGCATGTTGCTGTTGCAGAATTTCATGACTCTGTCATAAATTCGTCTTGCCTTTCAGATATTTCAGATTTCCCCACCCTCGATCAGATTTATTTGAGAAATGTAGCTGTTGTGTATCGTGTCGGAGAAAGGTCTTCTGGGGTGTCGTCGAGATCTCGTTGCGACCGTGACTCCTGCTTGTCTCCCTGGCTAGGTGCTGCTTGCTTTGCTTTTTGCGTAGTGTTTTTGATTATTGTTTACTATTGCGTATTGTTAGTGTTCGTTGTGATTTGGCACAGTACTTGTTACGAGATACGACACATGGTGTAGTGTGTGTTTGCAGCACGAAGAAGACTGCTCACCAGAACGGTTAGCTCAGGAGCTTGGGCTTACCTTGTGCAATCACAGTTCATCAGCTTGGACATTGCGCTTGTTCCCATGCGAATAACCGACTAGAATAGTAATTATTTCTTCGTTGCATTTTTGAATTGTGTTCTTGCTAGCTCGTTGATTTATTTAGTTGATGTGTTGATTTGTGTTTGATTACTTATTTATTTGATGCGCGATTTATGTGCGCTGATTGCGTGATGGCATGCAATTATGATCATGCTTGCGCCAGCTAGCTAGATGCCTGCGCCGCGCACTGATGTTGAATGAGTTAGTATGCGCCCCGCGCTGTTCATGCATATATGGTACATGGTGTGTAATGTTTGCCGCACACGCGTATACGTGCCTCGCCTCGTACTGCTTATGTGCCGCGCGCCGTACTATTGCTGTCGCTTTGCCGCCAAATTTAGCTTCCGCTTTCCGAGCGCTGTACGCTCTTCTGTACGCTTATGCCAAAGTTGGACGCACGTTGTGGCTGGCCAGCGCTTTACCCCTCATGCGTTGTTCTTTTCCTTGATGCTGTGGTTTGTTTTTCTTTAGTGTTCTAGAGTTCTCTTTCCGATGTAGTTCGTATTTTTCCAGTCTCTTCTTCTCAATGTATTCTACTGCTCATTCATTATAGTCCGTAAAGAATTACGTGACCCTTTGTCTTGTGGCGTCTGTGCGATCCTGAAACTTTTGAGGTGTTAGTAGTGAACACAACATTTTGGCGACCACGACAGGATCGAGACGCGTGAACATGGATGAGGTAGAAGCGAAGCTGATCGCAAATGGTCAAGCTTATGGCTACAGGGAGCAGGCATGGAGTTGCGGAAGTGGCGAGGGAACACGATGACCTCAGACCCCGAGGCTGGTTCCAAGGCACTGGGTATTGTGTGGAACACCGAGTCAGATTGTATTTCGGTGGCTGCGCTCGGTGATGTTGAGTGTCCCAAGGAAGTGTCTGGTTGGTCTCGTCGTGCGTTGTTGCGTTGTGTTGCCGCTGTGTTCGATCCGCTAGGTTGGGCGTCACCCGCAGTTGTGCCAGGCAAGATGATGTTGCAAGAGAGTTGGAAGCTCGGCGGTGGTTGGGATGACCCATTCCCTATTGATTTGGCTGTCCGATGTGCTTCATGGTGGGGAGAGCTCGCAGCGCTTTCTTCCGTTAAAATCCCCAGATGGATCGGGTGTACTCCAGATGCTCCAGTCACGTTGCATGTATTCTCAGATGCATCCGAGAAGGGCTATGGCTGTTGTTTCTATGTTGTGTCCGGTTTGACGTCTTCTTTGTTGTGTGCGAAGGCGAAGGTTGCACCTGTTGTACGTCCCACTCTTGCGCGTCTGGAATTGTCGGCTGTGTGTCTTGGCGTGAAGATGTTGTCCTTTGTCGTCAATGAATTGAGAGTGCCAATTGAAAGGATTGTGGGGTGGACAGACAGCCTAACCACATGGCACTGGATCTCAAAGCCGTCGTATCACTGGAAGACGTATGTTGCTAATCGAGTTGCTGCAGTGCAAGAAGTTTCGCAGAAGCTGCAAGTAGAATGGCGTCACTGTCCAGGAGTTAGCAACCCTGCAGATCTTGTCTCGCGTGGTGTCCCAGTGTGTGACTTGCAGAAGGAGATGTGGCTGCATGGTCCGTCATGGTTGAGCGATGAGTCTCAGTGGCCACCAGTCATCTCGTTTCAGAGCACCAATGAGTCCGTCACCGAAGCACGCGTGTCGGCTGTGGAGGTTGACACTCCAGTTGTTTGGCCGTGGGAGAAGTTCTCCAAGTGGCAACGAGCTCGCGGTTTGGTCGCAAGTATGCTGTCATGGCGACACAAGGGTGTTTCGCGTGCAGAATTGATTCCATCTGCTGAGTCTGTGATGTTTCGCGCCATCCAAGAGCAATGCTTCCCCAAGGAGTTGTCCCAGTTGCGGAGCAAGGAGCCACTGAAGAAGGGTTCGAAGCTGTTCAAGTTGTCTCCGTTTCTGGATGAAGCTGGTTTGCTCAGAGTTCGTGGTCGTCTGCAGGAGAGCGATCTGTCCTACGAGGTTCAGCATCCGATCATCCTGGGCAGATGTCATCTAAGTGAGTTGTTTCTGCGTGATGCTCACCTTCAGCGAATGCACCAGGGTGTAGAGAGCGTGCTTGCGTTTCTACAACAGCAGTTCTGGATTCTCGGAGCTCGTCGGTTTCTTCGTAGCGTGTTGGAGAAGTGCATTGTTTGCCGCAGATTTCGCGCACAGACTGCTGCTGAGGAGATGCCGCCGTTGCCCTCAGACAGGGTGAAGCACCACCAGCCATTCGGTCTCACAGGTATTGATTATGCAGGTCCGTTGTACGTGCGCAGTTCATCAAATGTTCAGAAAGTGTGGGTCGCACTCTTCGTGTGCGGTACTACTCGCGCAGTGCACCTAGAGCTCGTGGATAGCCTGTCGACAGAGGTGTTCCTGCTAGCATTGCGTCGTTTCATCGCCCGTCGTGGGAAGCCGCTGCGTATACGTTCAGATAATGCTACGACGTTCAAGTCCGCCGCAGACAAGGTGGCAATCCCGTGGTTCTTCAATCCGCCATCTGCCCCGTGGCATGGAGGGTTCTATGAGCGTCTGGTGGCATGTGTGAAAGCTCCCTTGAAGAAGGTTCTCGGTCGAGCGTCATTGAGTCGAGACGAGCTGTTCACTGTCTTGACGGAGATCGAGAGAGTCGTCAACTCTCGACCCCTCACTCCGGTTTCTACGGATGTAGCTGACGAGCCGCCGCTGACTCCAGCCATGATGTTGGGAGACATCTTTGCAACCGGTATTGCCTCGTCTGACAGACCACTCGATCCACGGCAGTTGTCCGCTCGAGTCAAGTATGTCCACACCGTCTACGAGCACCTCAACCAGCGTTGGTCGTCTGAGTATCTCATTCGTCTCAGTGAGTATCATCGGTCGAAGTCAACTCCGATTGTCGTGGACGACGTTGTGTTTATTGCCGACGACAACCGGAAGCGGCAATCATGGCGCTTGGGTAGGGTCGCAGAGCTGTATCCTGGAAGAGATGGCAAGTGCAGGGTGGCCAAAGTCCAAGTTGGCCAATCGTCCATGCTACGGCCCATTCAACGCTTGGTTCCGTTGGAAGTAGCGAAGGAGCATGTTGAGCCGCCTGCTGTGGACGCTGAGCCGCAGCCGCAGACACCCGCGAGCGCTGATCCAGTCAACGTCGTCGATGATGTTGAAATACCTTCGACGACCGTTGAACCGCAAGTTACGCGTCGATCTCGTCGTACCGTTCGACCACCACCTCGTCTTGATTTGTGATCAGTGTGGTTGAAGCCCTTTGGTGGGGAGAATGTTGTGTATCGTGTCGGAGAAAGGTCTTCTGGGGTGTCGTCGAGATCTCGTTGCGACCGTGACTCCTGCTTGTCTCCCTGGCTAGGTGCTGCTTGCTTTGCTTTTTGCGTAGTGTTTTTGATTATTGTTTACTATTGCGTATTGTTAGTGTTCGTTGTGATTTGGTACAGTACTTGTTACGAGATACGACACATGGTGTAGTGTGTGTTTGCAGCACGAAGAAGACTGCTCACCAGAACGGTTAGCTCAGGAGCTTGGGCTTACCTTGTGCAATCACAGTTCATCAGCTTGGACATTGCGCTTGTTCCCATGCGAATAACCGACTACAATAGTAATTATTTCTTCGTTGCATTTTTGAATTGTGTTCTTGCTAGCTCGTTGATTTATTTAGTTGATGTGTTGATTTGTGTTTGATTACTTATTTATTTGATGCGCGATTTATGTGCGCTGATTGCGTGATGGCATGCAATTATGATCATGCTTGCGCCAGCTAGCTAGATGCCTGCGCCGCGCACTGATGTTGAATGAGTTAGTATGCGCCCCGCGCTGTTCATGCATATATGGTACATGGTGTGTAATGTTTGCCGCACACGCGTATACGTGCCTCGCCTCGTACTGCTTATGTGCCGCGCGCCGTACTATTGCTGTCGCTTTGCCGCCAAATTTAGCTTCCGCTTTCCGAGCGCTGTACGCTCTTCTGTACGCTTATGCCAAAGTTGGACGCACGTTGTGGCTGGCCAGCGCTTTACCCCTCATGCGTTGTTCTTTTCCTTGATGCTGTGGTTTGTTTTTCTTTAGTGTTCTAGAGTTCTCTTTCCGATGTAGTTCGTATTTTTCCAGTCTCTTCTTCTCAATGTATTCTACTGTTCATTCATTATAGTCCGTAAAGAATTACGTGACCCTTTGTCTTGTGGCGTCTGTGCGATCCTGAAACTTTTGAGGTGTTAGTAGTGAACACAACAGTAGCCATGCGCCAGGTGCGTGTCGCAGATGTTTTTGTTGATTCTGTGTTTATAATGGTTTATAATCATGGGTTATCGTGATAAGGTCATCCAGCATCATAATATGATGCACTGAAATCGTAATCCTGTTGATGTCGATACAACTTTGTGGAAGTAGTTCAATGACTTCAAACTGTTAGTCCACGATTTTCTAAAACAACACAGCAAAGGAGGAACAATAAACATGTATTAAAATGTAAACAAATACATTGCTGAGTCCGACACCTCGTTCCAACAACTACACTGATCCTGAGGATAAAAGGGTCAAGGCTATGGTTGGAGGTACTGATACTGAGAGATAAACAATGCACTCCATGATAATAAACTCTTACACATCTTTTGGTGAGTATGAATGATGTCCAGTCGAACCTCTTTAGGACCAACACCAAGGGACCGATGGTATTTATTCTGTGAGTTTGTCTTAACCTATTTTATAACGAGTGAAAACAATTATTTCTCCAATAGACATACGAATAGATTTCTTCTACAGCGAAAGATTCTAAGCCACACCGACTCATTGACTCGTCTAGTATGAAACAAAAGAGTCACTGAACCTTTCTTTAGCAACATGACGGCAACTGAAACAGCAACAGAGAAAGTACGATACATGTACTGCACATTCTTGCAGGTACTACAGGTACTACAAACAGATTGCAGATCGTAATTCTTGCTTTGGCGGCACGAAACTTTATTTGGGGCAGTGCAATCTCGGCGGTACTCACAAATCAAACAGCCCAGACTCGAGTAAACAAATGCAATCATACAAGTACGAGATTTTCACGAGACGAGACTGCACCCATTGGCTTGTTTCGTATGAAGCAAACAAGTTACTGAACCTCTCCACAATGGAGATTTACCCTGATATGCGAATTTATTTGGCAAACTCGGTCAATGAGTCCTTGACCCTTTCCCTCCAGATTGGGAATTGCCAACGATAGTATGCCACTGACCAGTGCCTTACTTGTAACGTTCTAATGTGCAATGAATATGAGTATTTCGACAACACATCTAACATAAGCCTTACCGTCAAGAAGGTGAACTCGCGTTCTTCGCACACTGTAGTGTAGGCAAGGGCAAAGAGATAAAAATGGATCTAAATCCGAATAAAATCAGCACACGTTTCCGTAAATGAAAGGGTGAGCATAAGCAAAATGAATCGAAGGAAACTGGTGAACTCAGAGATCACCTGTCATTGAGTATTCCGTAAAAGGAGGCCTCGGCAGCGGAAAAGCTAAATTTAGAAAGGAGATCCTGTCAGCTTTTCCATTATTTATTTCATTCCGCCCAAAATCAGCACACTTTTCGTAAATGAAAGAGTCAACACAAGCAAATGAATCAAAGTGAACTGGTCAACTCACCTGTCATTGAGTAATATTCCGCGAAAGGAGGTTTCAGCAGCGCCGAAACGAAATAAGCCAGGCCAGGAGACGAAATATCCGAAACAGCTCATGCAAGAAGCAGTTCCAAAGAAGGAAGTTCCTCGTGCATGCACATCCGAAAAAGCAACAACAAAAAGTCTGCAATGCACACGCATGCGGCCAGCCGGCCGCGCGATGGTGGGAGCCATGGAGTAGCTCCCTGGTCCAGGACCAGGTACCGAGCATCTTACGTAGAAACTTACGTAGCTACGTAGACAACGTGTCTGAATAGCGGTGTCGTTAGGTAGCGCCATGTGAACACAATAATAGAAAAGCTGACAGGATCGCTTTTCTAAATATCGGAACTGTTGCAGCAGGCTCGCAATGAGACCACCAGTCCGAGCAGAACCCCAATGCAGGATATGAACAAATTCTGCAGAGGAAAGACAGCTCACCAGTCACCTGACGCTGAGGGCTTCACCCTGGCTTCTGGGAAACACACCTTCCCAGCACAGTCCAGGACTGCACTGCACAGCACTGAAGGATTTTCTGAAAGTAATGAACTGCCAGTTGGAAATGCAGATTCACAAGAGGATGCAGACAGCAGCCTGGCGAATGTTACAATCGGTGGGATAACCTTTGAGTACTGATTTGATCTTCTTTTACATAATCTATGACAGAGTCAAACCCAACTGCCAGACTCCAACCCACTTTTACAAGAACAGCCATGTCTTCACTTAACCCCCTTGCTGACTCATTTAGTCCGTCAGTTCCACTACCTTCTCCTACCCACCCAAGTGCACTTCGCGTTCTATTTCTCAACATCAGGAGCCTGCGTAACAAACTCAATGACATCCTACTGCTCACACAACAACTCAACGCCCCGGATATAGTCTGTGTCAACGAAACCTGGCTCGACGCCACTGTTTCGGACCAAGAAATAGCCCTGACTGGATATAGTGTAACACGCAGAGACCGTAGTGGTCAAGTAGGAGGAGGAGTTTGCATATACTGGAAGTCATGCCTTCCGGTAAAACCAAGAGACGACATAACAACTGATGGTGTGGAAAGTTGCTGGTGTGAAGTCGCTTGCAAACCCCGCAGTTGTCTTGTTGGAACGATCTACCGCCCTCCATCTGAACCTGTGGGTTACTGGGACAAGCTAGACGAACATCTTTGCGCTGCTCTAAGGCCACAGCCAAATGCTATCGTTTGTGGTGACTTTAATGTGAATATTGACCTAAGTGCCAGGGACCCTCAGTATCACTACTTATCTGACTTGCTGAACAGCTATGCTCTGCATCACGGTGTCAACAAGTCTACGCGATTTAGCTCAACAGGACAAGAAAGCACCCTCGATTTGATACTGAACAATTTTGATCCTTCCACTACAGCGAAGATCATCCCGGTCGCTTTCAGTGACCATGCTGCCGTGGCCAGTGACTTTCACCTCATTGTGCCTCGTGGATCTGACACCACACGTTTATACCGCAACTATCACTGGATAAACCACGATCACTTCCGGCGTGACTTAACCCAGAAGAACTTGTGTAGTATTACCGGCAACCCAAGCGCCATGTGGACCGAGTGGTCTAGCCGGTTTATTGAGGTTTTGGATGTCCATGCCCCACTTCAAAGTAATCACAGAACGAAGAAGCCTTCAGTGCCATGGATTGACCGGCAATTGTTGTACTTACTACACAAGCGGAATAGGTTGCACCGAAAGTGGCTCCCTGCTAAGACACAGGAGACTCATGATGAATTTAGTACAGCCAGACGTGCGGCAACTAGCTACAACAGGACCCGGAAACAGGAATTCTACAACTCCAAATTTCAGCAATGTACTGGAAATGCCAGAGAGACTTGGAAAATAATCAAGGAGTTGACAGGCAAACAGTCGACGTACAGGGATCCACAGTGCACGGTGGATGCGATTCGAGACACTTTTTCGAAAGTTGTGGAAGATCCAGCTCGCCCTGCACAGCTACGCCTACCCCTTGGGCCTCCACCTGCGGTGCACTTCTCGGAATTCTTGCCAGTCTCCATTGCAACTACTCGGAAAATGTTGGAACAGTTGGACGCCAGAAAAGCCACTGGGAGTGATGATATTCCAGCAAGTCTCCTCCAGATGCATGCTGACATCCTGGCACCGTCACTCACGCTACTATTTAATAAGTCATTGAGAGAAGGACAGTTTCCTGCGGCAATGAAGGTGGGTAAGATACGGCCTCTGTTCAAGGCTGGAGACCCCAGCCAACCCAAGAATTACCGACCAGTCTCCCTATTGCCGATAGTGTCGAAAGTGCTTGAACGTATTGTTCATAAGCAGCTTCTGCAGTACCTCAACACGAACAATTTCTTGCCTACTAGTCAGTTTGGTTACAGACACCAGCATTCCACAGCAGATGCCTTAGCGCTAGCTGTAGAGAACATTAATGAAGCACAAGCCGCTGGGCAGCACACAGGAGTAGCATTTGTCGACATGTCTAAAGCCTTCGACAAGGTAAAGCATAGCATTCTGGTTGAGGACCTCTTTGAACTGGGTCTCACTAGCACTGCTTTGCAATGGTTTTCAGACTACTTGATGTATCGCCGGCAATACGTGGAG